GTTTTGTTTTTTTTGGGGGGGGGGGGGGGGGGGGGCTCGGCGGGCAGGCGGTCGGTCGGGCGGCTCGCCGACTGTCGACGGTGGCGGCGACATGCATGGTGGGTTTATGCGAATCGTGTGGGCTGCCGGTTGCGGTGCACAAAGGCCGGGCTCACGATGGCGGAGGGACGAGGTCAGCGCCACCGTCGGCGGCGTCGGAGAGCAGCGGCTCAGGATCGTAGTCGGGAAGCCACTCGGCAGCGAGGATCTTGAGCTGCTCAAACTCGCGCTGGGAGAGACCGATCTGCTCAGGAACGCAGGTGACGGTGAATAGCTCCGAGTCGCGGAGGTAGTCGATCTGGACCGGGACGGTCGGCACGCACTCGCCGCGGACGACCCGGGCAAACTCGTCCTTGGACTCGACGCGAATGCCGGCGACAGCGGTGATGATGTCGTCCCCACGGAGGCCGGCGAGCTGCGCCGGCTGGCCGCGGCGGACCGAAGCCACGCGGGCTCCACCGGTAAAGTTCTCACAGATAAAGACGCCAAAGTGAGTGGCCGGGTTCTCCACCACGGTTTTGGCCTTGAACGCTGCGACGTGGCGGCCCATGTGGCCGGCATAGTCGCCGACGCGCAGGACCGAGGCGCAGACGCCGCAGGAGACCCGCCGCGAGGAACACCAAACTGCAGCGTGGCGCTGCAGCTCGACACGCCGCACCCGCTCGCCACACTCCCCGCAAGTCTCGAGGTACTGTGAGCACGAGGCAAGGTGCTGTGCCCGACGGCCACATTCGTTGCAGGGCTCGGCCCGCGCCATGACCGGCGGCGACTCGGTGCGCACAGTGGCGCTGATCCGGCCCGACTGCTTGATGACGTCAACTCGCAGCGGCGATGCGTCGAGCGGCAGGCCATCGGCGACAACGTGGAGCTCGTAGACTCCAACCCGCGGCGGGGTAAAGGCCACCACTACTGCACCCAGCTCCTGCCGGACAACGCGGGTGGCGATGGCCAGCGACCGCAGCGGGACAAAGATGAGCGAGGCCTCGATGACCGACTGCGAGCGGAGCGCCGGCGCCCGGACAGTCAGCTCGACGTCAAGGCCAATCTCGGTCTCGAGCACGGCCTCGTCATCGCGCCGTGGGTCGAACCCGCACATGCTGCACGGCCCGGCACGCTCGAGCACAATTTGCAGCTCGGCGAGGGTCTCCTGGTGCTTGGCCTGGAGGGCAGCAAGTTTTTCGGCAAGAATTGCGTTGCGGACCACGTCGTCTGGATTGCGGATGGGAGACGACGCTTGCTGCTGCGCCGCCACACTAGCCGCCGCGCTCTTGGCCTGGCTCAGCTCAGTCTGGGTCCGGGCCAACTCGGCCTCGAGGTGCACGACCCGCTCGGCCATGGTGGCCGAGTCGAGATCGGCTGACGCGTTGAGCGACGCTGCCAGCGACGAGAGCTCCTCCAGCGACGACGCCTGCGACGAGCGCTCAACCTGGACCTGGGCCACCACGGCCTGCAGTGACGTGATCATTGCTCGCAGCTCCTCCTTTTCCAGAGCCCACTGGTTGGCTGCTGCCAGCGAGCGCGAGCGCTCAACTTCGAGCGCACCTTCGGCGGCGTCTGCACGCGACTCGGCGGCGGCGACGCGGTCTGCAGCGAGCGCGGCCGGCGACGCCGGTCCGTCTGCAGCCGTTACCACGCGGCTCTTGAGCACCGAGATGGCTCTCGACGCCCGCTCGAGCTTGCGCCGCAGCGACATGTTGGCCTCATGCATCTCCTCTAGCTCCATCTGGACGTCGGCGTTGATGACTTCGGCCGACTGCGCCTCACTCAGCTGGGCCATAGCCTCGCGGTGCAGGTCCTCGAGCTTGGCGTACGCCTTGCGGAGCTGGCGATGGTCGCCCTGCAGCTGCGCCAACTGCGCCCTGTGCGAGGTCAGCTCGCCGCGGAGCGACTCGCGGTCGACGAGGGCCTCGGAAGAGAGCGAGATCGCTGGGTTGTTGCCACTGCCCGTGCGAAGCGGTGTCCCACTCGGTGTCCCGCTCGGCGTCGCGGCCAGTTTGGCCTGTGCCTCACTCAGCGATAGCGAGAGCTGCATGTTCTCGGCCGCCAATGACGTGTCGATGTCAGGCCCAGCCGCACGCCGCCGCGCAAGCAGGGCAAGCTCGTCCTCGGCGGCGGCAAGCTGCAGCCTGCTCCGTCGGAGTTGAGCGCGGAGGACGACAACGTCGTCGGTGGCAGCATCGGCCTCGCGCCGAACCGCAGCCTCCAGCGCACTAACCTCGGACTCGAGGACCGCAACTGCGCGGTTGTGCCGAGCCGCCAACCGATCAAGCTCTGCCTGGTGCGAGTCCGAGAGAGTGTTGAGCGCACGCCCAAGGTCGACGCAGAGGGCTTTGCGGTCGGTAGCGGCCTGGGCGGCGGCGGCAGCGAGTTGCCGAGTCAGCGCCGCGTTGCGAGCCTCCGCCAGCTGCAGCAGCGTTGCCAGCCGGGTCCGCTGTGTCTCTGCCAGCTGCGCAGCAGCTTGCATGGTCTTGACTTGCGACGAGAGCTCGGAAGCCCGGGCGTCGGCGGCACGGCTGAGCGCGTGCGCAGCTTCGACAGACTGTGCTGCTGCAGGCGCGACGCCAATCCGGGCCAGCGTTTCGCGCAGACCCTGAAGCTCCTCGTCCTGCATCTCCCGCACCGCGCGCTGCGCGTTGGCATCGGCTGCGGCCTGCACAGCCGCCGCCGACGCCTCGCGGCACTTGTCGACAAGAACCTCGGCCTCGGCCCGGTTCGCCACGCTCTCAGCCACGGCGGCAGCCTCTGATTCCCGCGCGTCAGCAAGCGTCGCTTGTGCCGTAGCTAGCTCATTAAGCACACTCCGCACCCGCTCCTGCTCCTCGAAAAGCGCCGTCCGCAGCGCAGCGGCCTCGGCCATCGCCTCGCTTGCCTCGGCCTTGGCCTTTTCCACCTTGCTCGTCAGCTCTTGCCGCTCCGCCTCTGCCGCACGCGTTGCCTCGACCAACTCGATCTCCAGCCTGCGAACGTTGTCGCCGTCCTTGCCGGAGGCATTTTCCATGTTTGCTGCCGACTCGAGGCGTCTGTCGACGCTGCCCTTGAAGAGACCAAGCGACTCATTGGGGCTGAGGCCGTCGTCATCGAGGATGCCAAGCATCTCGTTGGCTTCGTCATCGTCGAGGATACCAAGCGTCTCGTTGGCTTCGCCATCGTCGAGGATGCCAAGCGTCTCGTTGGCTTCGCCATCGTCGAGGATGCCAAGCGTCTCGTTGGCTTCGCCATCGTCGAGGATGCCAAGCGTCTCGTTGGCATCATCGTCATCATCTACAATACCGACATCGTCATCATCATCAGCACCAGGTGCAGTAGGGTGATGCACGCCGAGGACAAAGCCCATATCACCGTCATCATCCTCATCATCCTCATCCTCATCATCCGAGGAATGACGAGTAATGTCTGTCACCCCTCCCCCCCCATCACCATACCACACCATACATCACACCACATATCATCATCATCATAAGCATCATCATCATGCCTCCATAAGTACCTCCCATCCCCCCCCTCCTCCCCTCCCACCCCCCTTCCCCTCCGCTCTTCTCACCTCGTAACGGACCCCCCCCCCCCCTCCCCTCTCCCGTCCCACCCACCCCCACCCCATACCCCATAACCCCCCCATACCCCCCCACCCCACCCCTAGAATACATACCCACTACCTCCACGTCATCCAGTGAATCATACTCGGAACTGGTCGCCATGCCCCCCGCTTTCACCACCGCTGTGAAGTCGAGTGCTGACCGGCGTGGCCTCGCTGTCGGGGGTTGGCTGTCGGCTGCCTGCTCGCTAACCGTACTGCTGATGGCACCATCTGGGGTGTGCACTCGGGGCATGGCTAGTTGACGATTACTTTTACAACAACAAGGGAGGATGGAGGTTATGATGTAGGGGAACGAAGCGTGGATGATCAAGGCAAGTGCTGGTTTACCTGGGAGGGTGGTCGTGGACAGCGATTACGAGTCCAGAACGACGATGTGCTTACGGCGGAGACCAAGACTCTCAGCAAGAGCGGCAGCAAGGGCAGGGCCAAACGTTGGTGGACCGCAGACCACAGCACGGAGGCGATCGCCTGGGTTGAGCTCGCCGATGAGCTCAGGGACCGAGCCGGAGTCGAGCCGGCCGCGGGCCCCGGACCAGACATCGGCGCCACCAGGCTCATCGGTGAGGGTGTGTACAACACGGCAAGACGGGCCAACAGAAGCGGCACGAGCCTCGAGCTCGTCAGCGACAAGAAGATCACCAACGGTCCGCTGCGAGACGAGGACGGTGACCCGTGCAAAGCCGCCGGCGTGATCGAGGAGCTGATGCGCCGGCGCCACGCCTGTCCCGCCCACCACCAACAGCAGATGGCTCTTGTGCGGCTTTGATGCCAGGCGACGTAGGTCAAGCGTGTTTTCAGGGAGCGAGATGTCGAGGACTGTGCCCTTGGAAGCGGCGGCAAACACGCCCTCGGACACCGTGCCGCCGGGGTAGATCTTGACCAGGATGCGCAGATGGCCGGCCATGAACTCGGTCATTGATGAGAGTGGTGTGTAGTCGCGGAGCGTGCCATCAGCGGCTGCCACGGCAACATGCCACGCCTCTCCAACGTGGTCGCTGGCCCGGGCAAGAAGCTCACCGATGCGGTCGGCATTGACAGGCTCCAGCGAGTACACCGCCGAGTCGTGGGTATGCGCATCGACAGCCACCACCCGCCACGGCAAGAAGCCTCCATCGGCAGCGCCCTTGACTCCGCGCTTGATCCCCTCGGGCGGTGGCACCACCTTTTCCGCCGCCCACACCCAGCCGTCGTCGCGGACGACCAGATGGAAAGCGCGGACAGCGTACGAGTCCTTGTACTTGCGAGTGCGCTGCGGGACAAACGACCGCCCGTCAGCGAGGGCAAAGTAGAGGCCTTTGCCAAACTTGTTGTAATGCTTGGGACAGCGAATGCAGAGTCCTGCGCGGCTCGATCCGTCCGGATGTGCACCGCCCTCGCACTTTAGCTCGCCCAGATCCTCGATGTCGCCGAGCGAGAGTTGGCCCTTGCCATGAGCGCACTTGTTGGCGATGGCATACAGCACACCATCGACCACAGCCACTGCCAGTGGAGGGAACCCAGATGATCCAATGTCATCCACCCTCCCGCCGTCTCCGTCGCCTTCTCCGCCGCCATCGCCGCATGCCTCCGAATCGCCACCGACCAGGACCGGCTCACCGCCCGCGTGCACCACAGTCTCCACCCTGCAGAGCCGTCGGTACGGCAGCGCCAGAGCCACACCCGGACCCAGCTCCTCGACCTGCCACATATGCGTTTCTGCGGCCATACCTGCTCCTCTCGCCTTGTCGTCACGTGTGCCCTCAGCCCGATTCAGCCTAGCTCACCATCGCTATCGCCTCCACCGCCACCATAACGATGGACTTGATGCCCCCCCCCCCCCCCCGTCCCAAGCCCCGATCGGATGATCCGACCTATCTCCACGGCAACAGCCGCAGTAGCACGTCCACCGCCATCGATCCCAACTCTGTTCGATTGATCCATGCCACAAGTCCGCCCGTTCCCTCGATCGGGCGTTCCTCGTCTGGCATGCGTCTTGCTATCGACCGCGGATGCTGGCAACTGGCTGCAGTGGCGGGCTGCTGGCAAGCTGCTCGCGGCTGGCGGCTGGCTGCTGGCTGCTGGCGGCTGGCGGCGGCTGGCTGCTGGCTGCTGGCGGCTGGTGGCAGGGCGGGCTACCACCTGACGCGGAAGCCAAGGCAAAGGGCGAGCGGGAACACGATGTTTACGGTGCGAGTGGGAGTGCGGATGGGAGTGCGGATGGGAGTGGAAGGATGTTACGCAGGAGTGGGACGGAGTGTGTCTGGCGTGGCGGCGACGGTGGGCGAACAGCTGGCGTCCGAGGGCTATGCCGTCGTCCCGGCCTTTGCCGCTCCCGAGGAGACCCAGGCGCTGATGGACGAGTTTGCGCGGCTGGTGACTGTCTTTGACCCGGCGAGCCATCCCACGACCCGATTCTCCACCACGGATCACTCGCATGGCTCGGAAGACTACTTTTTGGGCTCGGGCGACAAGATCCGCTACTTTTTCGAAGAGGGCGCAGAGATCGGGCCCGAGGCCGACCCGGCTACCGTGCGGGCGAGCATCAACAAGATCGGTCACGCGCTGCACGATCTCAACCCGGTCTTTACTCGCTTCTCTTTCTCACAGGCTGTGCGCGAGGTCCTGGGCCACACCCAGCTCGACGACCCAGTCCTTGTTCAGTCGATGTACATCGTCAAGCCGCCGCGGATCGGCGGTGTCGTTGCCCCGCACCAGGATGCCTCCTTCCTCATCGATGAGCCACAGACGGTGACTGGCCTCTGGTTCGCGCTTGAGGACGCAACGGTCGACAACGGCTGCCTGTGGGTCCTCCCGGGCTCGCACCGCGACCCGCTCCATGCCCGCTTTGCCCGAAAGGCCAACAACCCGCAGGCGACGGCCATGGATGGCGACTTCCCACCGTTTGATGAGGAGACGTACACACCGCTGGAGGTCCAGGCCGGCTCGCTTGTTCTACTCCACGGATCGGTGCTCCACGCATCCAAGGCTAATACCTCGTCGCGCTCTCGCCACGCCTACACCCTCCACTTCAAGTCCCGGGCCTCGACCTGGTCGCCCGACAACTGGCTCCAATCGCCCGATCGCCCCTTCCACGGCTGGGAGAGCATGCCGCACTCTTTGTAGGCGCCGTGTGCATCTTGCGACCTGCGGCGACGCCGAGCTCAGCCAGCACCCCTCCGCCGGACCAACCAGCCGTGGGCCGGAAGGAAGTGCATGTGTGTGTATGGGAGGGGATGCCCGACCATCGTGGTCTGTTCCTGGCTGCCAAGACTGGCTCGGACGAGCTCTGGCGATCGGCCGAGCCCGTCGATCTGGTCCCCCCTCCCTCTCCCACTCGGCCACCAGCAGCCCGCCGCGCATACTCGTCTCACCGCCACCTAGCATGGGAGGACGCGGACGCGGCGGAGGACGGCGATGGGGAAATAAGATGAACACAGGGCGGCGGTACATTCTCCCGACACTTCCAGAAGAGCTCGCCCATCAGGCTAAACTGAAGCGTACGTCACCCTCGTCCATGCCCATGACCAGGCCTCCCCTCGGGCGGCGGCTGCACATCCATCCATCTCTCCGTCTCGCGACGGAAAGGGAGGGGGGGGGGGGGGGGGGGGCGGGGAGGGAGGCGGGGCTGGGAGAGCTGGAGGGAGGACGGCAGGGCCAGACTCACTGTGGATAATGGGGTGACGATGGGCATGGTGTGGGTGCTGGGGACGGTCATTGCGGTTGTGGGCGGACGTGTGTGGGTCTGGTGGGTGTTTGGGGCGACAGACGAGGCGGAGAAGGCGGCGCGGAAGGAGTCACATCTGCCGCAAGATCTGTCGATGCATCGGGCGCCGACGACGTCGAGGAAGAAGCTGCGGCGGCTGGCAAAGCGTGAGCGTGCGGAGCGCAAGCGGGCGCACAATGAGCGGCAGCGGAAGCGGCCGCGGAAGGAACCGGTGCTCAAGGCGTACGCCAACAAGCCGGCCGAGGGCGGCGCCTTCTCATCGGATACCGAGTCAGAGGAAGTCGACTCGGACTCGGACGAAGCTGGGAGGGAGCGGAAGCGACAGAAGAAGGGCGCCAACGCCAACTTTCTCAAGCTGCTCGCCAAGGAGGGCCTCATCGATGGCGACTATGGTCAGGACGGCGACGACATGAAGGACACCATCGATCTGGAGATTGCTGATCTGGAGCGCAAGCTTGGCCTCAACCGCAAGCGCCGCAAGCAGACTAAGGACGAGTTTGACTATGCAGAGATTGCTGGCGATGCAGTGCTTAAGGGCCTCTCCGCCGCCGGCGGCGGTGGTGGCGGTGGTGGCGGTGGTGGGGCGGTGTGCTGTCCGACTCGGACTCGGCCATGGACTTTGGCGACGAGTTTGACGAGGACGAGCTGCGCGATAGCAGCAACTCTGCGACGAGCAGCAGCAGCAACAGCAGCAGCAGTGACAGTGGCAGCGGTAGCAGCGGCAGTGGATCGAGCTCGGGCTATTCGTCGTCGTCATCATCATCATCATCGGCAGCGGTTGATGCCGAGACTCTGGCACAGCGGCGGCGGATTGCGCAAAAACTGCGGGGCGTGGTGAACCGACTGGCGGTCTCCAACCTTGCGCCTATGTGCGGCAAGATTGTGGCTGTGCTCGAGCAGCAGCCTAGGATCGAAGTGGCGCAGCTGCTGACCTCGATCATGCTAGGAATGATGTCTGGGCAGAAGCGCGGGATTGACGAGCTGCTGACAACATATGCAGCGGCGGTGGCGTGGCTCCACATTGAGGCAGGGCAGGATGTGTCTGCGCGGATTGTGGAGCGGCTGGTGCAGGTCTTTGTCGGCGAGAGTGAGGGTGGCGCGGCGTGGACTGATGCCGGGCGGCGGGCGGCCGGCAAGCTTGTGGCATCGCGGCCAGTCATGCTTCTCCTTGTCCAGCTGTACAACTTTGGGTTGTGGCGCGGAGCTGATGTACGATCTGGTGAAGCGGGTGCTGGAGAGGCTTGACGAGAACGGGGTCGAGCTTGTTCTGGTGCTGCTGACCCACTGCGGGCGCGCCTCCGCGGTGACGACCCAGTTTCGCTCAAGACGATGATCAGCGATGTGGACGCGGCAGTGAGGGCAGCCGGCGGAGCCGAAGCGCTGGGCTCCACCTCGCGGGTCACGTTTATGCTTGAGACGATCCATCAGGTGCGCAACAACCGGCGGCGGCTGAGCGACGAGCGGGCAGGCCTGGAGCCATACTACAAGGCACTGCCGGCGCGGACGGGCGAGAGCGGGCCGCTGCGGCTGACTGCATCGCGTTACCTCGAGCAGGGCAAGGCTGGGCTGTGGTGGGTGCTCGGCGAGGCGATGCATGACGACGCGGCCAAGTACGCCAAGGTGGAGGTGCCTGTGGTGCCGCCGGAGCTTGCGGCGCTTGCGTCGGAGATGGGAATGACGACCGAGGTGCGCAAGGCAGTGTTTTTTGTCCTCGTCACGTCGAGCGACTACGTGGACGCGTTTGAAAAGGTGAGCAAGCTGAGCCTGCGGCCGAAGCAGGCGCGGCAGATTGTGCATGTGGCCATCGAGAGCGCGCTGCAGGAGACGCAGTACAACCCGTTCTACGAGCACTTTATCAGCAAGGTCCTCAAAAGCGATCACAACCACCGGGTGACGTTCCAGTTTGCGATGTGGGACAAGTTCCGGGCGCTAGCCGAGCTGAGCGCGGCCGAACGGCTGAATCTGGCCAAGCTTGTGGGCGCGCTGCTCGGGCGCGGGGCGGCGAGCATGACTGTGCTCAAGGGCGCGCAGCTCGAGTCGCTCTCCAAGGCCGGTCTGCTCTTCTTCCGGCTCGTCTTTACAGTCCTCCTCCTCAATCACTCGGCCGAGGACGTCCACAGCGCGTTCCAGCGGCTGGTCGGCTCGGAGGATCTGGTGTTCTTGCGGCAGGACGTGACGTTTTTCCTCAAGAACCTGCTGGTGCCGTCGGCCAAGGCCAAGGCCAAGGCCAAGACCTCGTCGGCCGGCGCCATTGTGGCAGCGATGGCGCACGCGACGCCGCTCTCGCTCAAGCTCATGACTGCTGTGTACGACGCCAACGGACAGCATCCGTTTGTGCCGGTCGCCGAGTGGGCCAAGATGTCGGCCGAAGAGCGGACGCGCCAGGTCCGGCACGAGATGAAGCGGCGGGTCAAGGCTGCGGTTTTTGCGCTCGATGGTGGGGTGCGAGTGTAGTAGGTAGCTGGGCATGTGCAGCAAAACACGACCATAGCTCGCCGCTGATGATGGTACGAAAATCCGTTTACCTGAGCTGCATGCGGCAGCAAAGTTAGTTCTCCTTCTTCTTCTCGACCGAGCCGGTGGTCGGGAGGCCGACGAAGACCTTGAACGAGTCGTAGATCCACCACTGGAGGCCAGTGAGGGTACCGATCATGAAGACACGAGCAACGAGGCCACGCCAGAGGCCGGCAAAGCCGATGTCGGCGTAGATCTTCGACATGGCAGCGCCCATGCCCTCGCCCTCAGCCGAGGCGACCTTGTTGAGCTTGGAGACCATGGTGTCGGCAGGGTGCGAGACGATGGCGCAGAAGACACCAGCGATGTAACCGGCCAGGAAGGTGATGCCCAGCTGCTCGTTGTACGAGTAGTCGGCCTTCTCGCCAGGGAGGGCGGCGTAGATGAGCGAGACAACCTTCTCAAAGGCGACGAACTTGATGATGGTGTACGGGATCTGGCGGGCCCAGAGCGGGACGAGACCCTTGAAGAGGCCGTTGATGCCCTCGGCCTGGACAATCTTGGGCATGCCGTCCATGAGGCCGTTGGCAAAGGTCGGGTCGGTCTGGACGCGGACCTTGACGGCCTCGAACGGGCAGAGCGCAATGTCGGCGAAGAACTCGGCCGAACCGGAGGCAGCGCAGTAGAGGAGCGACTTGTACTGGGACGCGTTCTCCTCACCGATGGCCTGGCCGTAGTAGTGCTTGAACAGCTCGTAGAGGCCGAACTTGTGCAGACCCTGGGCCGAGTAGCCGAGCAGCGTCGGTGCCCAGCCACGCGAGAGCGAGGCCTTCTCCTTCAGGAACACGCGGAAGCCCTGAACGATACCGGTGTACTTCTCCGGGTTGGCCTGCATGTTGCACTTGACAAGGTCAAGCGGCGTGATGGCCGTGTGGGTGAGACCGCACGAAAGGATGCCGCCTGTGTAGTCGCAATGAAGGGTAAGCCGTGCCCAACAAAGTAAGGGTCACACCAGACCAGACCAGACCAGACCAGCCAGACGAGACAGAGCACGGATCCGACGAGTCCATCATCCAGCAAGGGGATTGGAGGGGGTAGGGGTAGGGGGTGATCAGGAAGAGAGTGTGTGCGCGTGTGTGAGTGATGAGTGATGGGCGGTGTGGTGTGTGTGGTGTATGGCTTGGTGGGCAGTGTGCGGGAATTTTGGGCGGACATCCATCCCTTTGCGGGTGGGCGGGGGGGGGGGGGGGGAGGGGGGGGGATGATAGGGAAGAAGAAGCGGGGAGGGGGAAGCAGGAGGGGATGTATGAGAACGTACCAATGGAGCAGGCGACAAAGTACTTGGCCGAGAAGGGGACAATCTTGCCCATGGGACCCTCCTTAACAGCCTCGGTGGCGGCAGCAGCCAAAAAACGCGGCGCCTTGGACTCGGCAGCCGAGATGAGGGCACCGACATCAGCAGCCTGGGCGAGCGGCGACGGCGCAGCCACGGCAGCGGTGGCCTTGGCGTACGAGAGCGGGGTCCGGAGCACAGAGGTGAACATGTTCGTCTGACGATGGAGGGGTGTCAGTCTCTGCTTCTGCTTCAGACTCGCTCCTTTGTCTGGACGCGTCACTGCCGCCGGCAACCGGCCCACCATTTGCCAACCGTCGCTCGTTGCCCGGCCGACGGAGGAGGAAGGGGCGGGGGGGGGGGGGCGGGGGGGGGGGGGGGGCGGGGAGGGGGGGGCGGGGAAGGGGTCGGGGAGTGGGGTGATCGGGAGGGGGGGCGGGTGGAGGGAGGGAGTGGGTTGCAACAATCGAGACTGCATCGTAGGATGTTCGGGCGGGGAAGGCGGGTGAGGGGAGGCTGCGATCAGCTGAGCGGAGTGAACGGGGGAAAGGGGACGGAGGGGGCTGGAGGGGGCGGGAAGGGGGGAAGAGGGGGGGGACGGGAACGGGCACAGGATGGGGACGGGGACAAGGTGGAGTAGACCTTACTCACTCACACTCACACTTACTCTTCTTCACTCTCTGCAACAAGTGCACATGAATGCTAGCAATGGCAGTGGCGGCGGGGAGAAGATGGTAGAGGCATGGGCGTATGCTGCCGGTGGACGGGAGGCCGCGGTGCGGTGTGTGGTGGAGACCGGCGGGGCGGCGATGAGGGCAATGGTCGGCTCCGAGGCTGTGGTTGTGGTTCCGTACACGGCGATTGTACTGCATGCGGCTTCGACCGATGATGTTGCTGAGCGATATGTGGTCATCCAAGTCGATGATGCTGCAGACGGGGTCATGGTGCCGGACGGGTGGAGCAGTGGGGACATCCGGCTGGCCCCAGTCGATGCGAGCGATGTGGCGGTTGTTGTTGCCGGGCTCACCCAGGGCATCCGCGACAATCCGGTCGAGGTGGACGAAGAGGCGATGGCTAGCATGATGGCGATGATGAGCATGATGGCTGGGATGCAGGCCGGGCCGATGGAGGCCGGTGGCAACGACGGAGGCGACGAGGGCGACGCCAACGACGACGATGGAGGTGTGGTGGCCGTGGCGAGCCTCCCTTCCGGCCTCATCCGGAGCGAGGAAGAGATGGAGGCTGCTTTGGCAGATAATCCCGAGGCGCGGGCTCGGTACGAGCGGCTGTGCTCGGTGCTGGTGGTGGAGGACAGCGGGGCTGAGGACGACGAGGAGACGGGAGATGGAGAGTAGTTTATGTTGATTGAACACACACACAGGCATGGCAGCGGCAACCAGAGTTACTGGCCATCGGCGTCGTCGGCGGGGGCCGAAGGACCGGACTCATCAATGGGCTTCATGGCTGGGAAGGCGAGGACCTGCTTGATGGTGTTCTGGTTGAGGAGAAGCATGCACATGCGGTCGACGCCGAGGCCCCAACCGGCGGTGGGCGGGAGGCCGTACTCGAGGGCGGTGCAGAAGTTCTCGTCGATGAGCTGGGCCTCGTCGTCGCCAGCATCCTTGTCCTTAGCCTGGTCGGCAAAGCGCTCGCGCTGGACGAACGGGTCGTTGAGCTCGGTGTAGGCGTTGCACACTTCCTTGGTGGCGACGAAGAGCTCGAAGCGCTCGGTGAGCTCCGAGTTGGTGCGGTCCCACTTGGCGAGCGGCGACATGAGGACCGGGTGGTTGGTGATGAACGTCGGGTTGACGCACTTGCCCTCGAGCAGCTCGCCGACGAGCGAGTCGATGAGGCGGGCGGCGGTGTACGGCGGGGTGAGCTCGATGCCGTGCTTGTCGGCCTGGGCGCGGTAGAAGGCGATGGCCTCGTCCGAGTCGAGCGGGCGCGGGATGGACTCGCCGAGAACCTCCTCGAGGCCGGCAACCATGGGGATGCGCTTGAACGGCGGGGTAAAGTCGATGGTGTACGGCTCCTCGGCGTGCATGGGCTTGTACTCGACGACGTACGAGCCGGTGACGGCGAGGACCATGCCGGAGATCATCTCCTCAGTCATCTCGATGAGGTCGTTGTAGTCGGCGTAGGCCATGTAGAACTCGCAGGTGGTAAACTCGGGGTTGTGGGTCTGGTCCATGCCCTCGTTGCGGAACTGGCGCCCGATCTCGTACACACGGTCGAGGCCGCCGACCACGAGCATCTTGAGGTAGAGCTCGGGCGCAATGCGCATGAACATGTCGATGTCGAGGTCGTTGTGGTGGGTGACAAACGGACGCGCCGTTGCGCCGCCGGCAATCATGTTCATCATCGGCGTCTCGACCTCGAGGAACTTGCGCTCGTCAAGGAACTTGCGGATGTACTGCACAATGGCCGCCCGCTTCTGGAGAATGGGTGCGACCTTGTTGTAGTTGACCAGCAGGTCGAGGTACCGCTGGCGGTACCGCGTCTCCGACGAGGTGAGCTCGCGCGGGAGGATGCGGTAGCACGGCGTGAGGAGGACGGTCTTGGACGGGAAGACCGAGAGCTCGCCCTTCTTCGACCGGCCGACCTTGCCGGTAAAGCCGACAACGTCGCCGCGGTTGATGATGGCATGCGCGTCCTCGAACTCAAGCTCGGACTCGTCGGCCTCGTTCTTGCGGGCAAGGACCTGGATCTTGACCCCGTTGTTGAGCACGTCGTAGAAGATCATCTTGGAGCCGGCCTCGCGCTTGTTGTACACCCGCCCGGCAATCGAGACGACGTCGTCGATCACAGTGCCGGTCGGCACAACCTCCTCGGACCCGTACTGCTCGCGGAGCTCCTCCGTCGAGTGGGTGACCTGGAACTTGTGCGGGTGCGACTGGTTCCCGTCCTCCACGTACTGCCGCATCATCTCCTGCTTGTAGTCAAAGTAGTCCATCGACTCGGGATCCGCCACCTTGAACTTGCGCTTGGCGGCCTCGGCCGCAGCCTGGGCAGCCTTGGCCTCTGCCTTAGCCTTTGCCTCTTCGGCGCGCTATGTAACGATGGGTGAGAGGGTGAGGGGGGGTGAGGGGGGGGTTCTTTGAGCACGATCCCCTTGAAACTGGAGGGGGGAGGGACGGGGGGGAGGGGGGGGGTAGGGAGGGGAAGGAGGAGGGGGGGGTTTCCGAGTACCGTTCGG